AAGGTGACTATGGGTCCTCCCACTGATGGGCTATGTAACACCCGCGGACGCGTCCGCGGGGTCGAGCTCGGATCGCGGACCCAAATGGGTCCGCATCCGCGGCCTACCTGGTCCGCACCGCGGATCCGATTTTACACGAATTTTCCTGAATTAAATAATAGGTAATATATATATATCGTCAAATAGAACTGCCCGGTAAACCGTAGGCAGAGAGGGAGAAGAGGACAACAAATGAGGGGCTGTGACAAACTGTTTCGTTGGAGTTTCACATATTATATATATATATATATCGTCAATATATTTGACGATATATAGGTTTGTGGGGAATTTTAAGCCCTACAACCCCATATTTTTTATTTTTGAATCCGACTTTGTTTAGGATTTTTAAAAAATCAAAAACGAAATTGGTGTGAGGATTGAGCCCTCAAGTAGGGGCCTTGCCATGATGTTCATGTTCTGGGCTAAGGCCCCAGCAAGCCTCGTGCCCGCCCTAAGTGCAGGCGGGCCAGCAAATCAACAAGAGCCCTCTGTGCCAACATTTCACGAAGTGGGGTTCATACAGTTGCAGCACGCCAGTCGGTTGGAGTGCACCGAGTCTCGGATTTCAGCAAATGCTGAAAACCCAGGGCCTCTGAGTTAGTTAGGCCCTGGGCACTCGAACGTGAGGCCGACAATGCATGCTGGGTAGAGAGGCCGAAAATGCCGAAGGGAAATCGGTCCACTATCTGAATCTGGCCACAGGCCTTGATGAAAGAGGCGCAACTGCACTCCCCGGGGCCCAACTGTATCGAGTTGGCTTCAGCCTCTGGGTCCCGGTCACAGGCTGAAGGGAGGCCGCACACTCGCTGCATTGGCATATAGGCAAGCAGGGCGAGGCAGCGGGGATCTTGGCCAATGCTGGCATTGCAGGCACGCTGCGCGGATGCATGTGTGCTGCGCTGTGCAGAGCTGCGCTGCGCTAAGGTCAAGCAGGCTAGCGCTAGGCGGTAGGGCGCTGCCTGCATGCAGGGCACTGGCGGCCATAGCCGGGCCGCATGAGGGTGCAGGAGAGGTGAAGGGCGAAGGTGGTCTTCGGAGGTGAAGGGCGCTGTGTGGGTAACAAGGGAGAGTGTGGGGAAGAGGACACGC